AGTGAATTCAAGAATATTTAACATGTTGGAAACTATGAACCACATAGCAAATAGTTTTATTTGATGGTGATTGGTTGAATTAATTAAATATAAAAAACAAACCAATAATTAATTCTAATATATTTTATTCCCAACAGCTTCTATCATATAAAATATCTTTTAGGTTTCTTTCAAAGTACGAAGGTCCAAGTTCATATAATTCAATCTTTTCATCAAGTTGACTAAATTAATAATTTCAACTGTATTCATATTTGTTTTTTCTTTTGACTAATTGGAGTTTTTCTAGGAATTTTAGTTGGTGGCTATTGGCTTGAAGATATATTAGAATACTAATAATAATTAAATCTGGTGAATTAGTCAAGTGCACGAAAAGGCAACCTTATTAGTTGGGATAAATTACAAATTAGTCCTTCTTGTTTTGAGAAATGAATTAATTAGTCCATCTAGTTTTAAAAACTAATTATTTAGTCTTTTTGTTTTTTTAATTTATTTTTGTTTTTTGTTTTTTAAAAAATAAAAAATAAGTAAAAATATGGAAAGATTGATGAAAAAAAGATATTTTATAAAATAAAATATTAAATTAATCGTGATCAATATTGGTTAAAAAAACTTAAAATTTAGTTTTTTAAACTAAAGAGACTAATTAATTTGTTTCTCAAAACAAGAGGGACTAATTTATAATTTACTTTTATCAGTTGGAGTCCCAATTTAAAACATAGACGTGCTGATGAGTGACTCAAATAATCATACGTCGGTCATCTACTATCTCATGCCATGAATAAAGCTAAGGATTTTATTGGTTCAGTATCACATCTCCTCTTACATTAAGTATAGAGTAAATTATAATTTAATTCCTGATTTTTAAGAAACTAATAAGTCAGCCAAACTCAGGTATAAAAAAATTGCATGTTTAATCCCTGTATTTCGTATTTGTTTATAACTTAATCTTTTTTTAGCAAGTATTTGATATATTAATTGAAATTTGTTTTTAATATAGGATTTCTAAAACTAAAGGGACTAACTTATTAATTTCTCAAAAATACATGACGAATGAAGTAATAATTTGCTTTTAATTATAAAATATCATGGCTCAAAAATCCTACTATACATGTCATGTTCCATGTTTATTCAATTTTTTTTTAATCTATCTCCTAGAAAATGAGCTCATAAAGTAACTATTATACATGTCTAATAGTTATTCTTTGAGTGTCGTAAAATTTCTCTCATGGTTCGTACGAATGAGCAGCACTCACACAAATGAAATTATAAAAAGTACAATATTTGGAAAGGGAAAATATAAAATGTTGCCTTAAAACACATGTTAAGCACAAAAAGTATTGAAATCCTAAGAATTGTGAGTGTAACTACTTTTAGTAGTGAATTATCCACTATTGGATTTTTAAAGCAAGAAATGGTACGAGTATACATTAACATCTATGTGTCTTATTTATGCATAGATATGATAGACAAATCCATCGAAAACACAGAATTCAAGTTTATCATTGCACACAACAACATTCCTATACAAGTTTTTATATCATTTATAATAGTATGGGAATAATTGCATTACAAATATACTAATTATTAATCTTTTTTCAATCAAATATATAATTTTTTTTTATTTTTAGTTTGAGTATGTATACAATCAAGTTCTTCAAAACGAGTCAATTGAGTATTTTTTTTTATCGAACTTTTATGAATTTCTCGATTATATGATATGTGTCTTTTTCTTATACTACTAAATTATGATTTTGCACTTTTATTTTTAGAAGAAACTTTATGTTCTAAATTATTTTTCTATTTTCTATGTTTTGAGTTGTAAATATTTAAATTGTTTTTATATCCAAAAAATAGAAAATGATAGAGGGAAAGTTTCTTTCAAGAATGAAAGAGTAAAATCATAATTAATTTAATAGTCTTGAACAAAGAACACATCATTAGATAACAAAACAATTGACAAAAGTTGGGCATAAGTACTTAATTGATAGTTTTGAATAAATTAGTGTATTTAAACAAAAAAAAAAAAATTCAGATCCTTCATTAAGAAAACATAAAAAAAATTAGTTTATTTATAATGTAATCATCCATAATACTATGCTACACATTTAAAGCAAGGTAAAGACAATATAAGCATTTTGCATTGCATCTTTATTTGAAACTTCTTCTACATTGCATCACCAACTTTTGGCAATGTGCATGAAGCATATGTTGCAAGAAAATAATTGCTTTAGCCATTGATTGCTTTAGGCATTGATAGGCCATAGACGCAAAGAGAATACATTAAGTATTACAAGTTAATAAAAAGCACTAATTTCTTTTAAGAATGATTAGATGGGCAGTGCCCTTTTTCTTTTTGAGGGTTTTGAGTGGAGTTATGCCACTTAATATTAATTAGCAAACTCCACAATTGTGCTAAGATTCCTCTACCACTCACAAAATGGTTCTTTAAGTATTCTGTTAAACTTTGATTAACTTAGCATAATTGCAGGATACTTTTTGCCACTAGCACCTTCTTAGTTCTCTTTTGATTAATGTTCTTGGCTAACTTAGCCACAACAAACAAGTATATCTTTGTAAAAATCATGTGTATCAATTGGGAAATTCTGCCTCTCAGTCATGCTCCCTTTATTTTCTGTGCTTGCTTAGGTATAACCTAAATCACAGGATACCCCATCAACAAGTAACTGGAAAATTCTTCCATTAGCAGGAATTTTTCCTTGGAAAAAAAAAGTTGCACAGAAGAAATGAATGTTTCAATGCACAGCACTTGAGGACAAAACGTAGTGGAGGGCCTTTTTAAGGAGGTCTTCAATGATGAAAGTTGAAGCTCAATAAAGTCATCAGGATCTCTAATATCAACTCCTTTCCGTTCTGTTCTCCATTGTGATTTGCTCTTTCAATCTAGCCGATACTCCAAAGAACAGTACAAACCTCCTTTTCCTTGTCATACTAATATTTTCGTTGAACGGTTCCCATTCTACTAGGAAGAAAACAAAACCCAACTTCCCCTCCTAGACAAAAGGGAAGAATCCTAGCATTTTTTGCGAAAAGCACTTTTTGCATAATTTTCTCTATGTATGGAACCCACATTCTCTACTAACTATTAAGTGATTAAAGTTAATAAGAAGAAAAGTATATACCTTCCATCTTAATTCTTGGCATAATTCTGTCCAAGTCCCACAAACTGATGTATTTGAGATCGAAAATGCTCAAGTGCAAAAGTTGCTGTTGATTGCACCATATATAATGATTTCATGTGGGAAACACCAAAGTGGTCTGACCATCAAGTATACTTGGATTTCTTTCAAGCTTTAATGGGATTTTGTGTGGTAGAAACGCTAGATGTCTTTGTTAAGTAGAAGATACACCGCATCATTCTTTCTGCTCTTTTATATTTTCAAGTGCCGATGGAGATTTGCCACCCTAGCTATCAACTTTATACCAATGCCAACCCTAATCATCATGAACCAAGCAACAGCAGCAGTATCTCACTAGAAGCATCTGACTAGCACTTCAAATGAATGGATGAGTTTCACAAAGACAAGAACACAGTGTTTAAGAGGCATGGATTGCCTCCCACTTTCTGTCCTTATTCTGTTGGCGTGGGATGCGTCTTATTTGACTTGGGAATAACAAAAAGACAGAAAGGGAGGCATTGGTCACTCATAATATCCCTTTTGGCCAGTTGCTGTCAAATCTGCATCTACATTGACATATCTTGGCATGTACTTGCAAATAAAATAAATTACAATCAACAAAAATTGGCACAAGAAGCTAGTTTCACATTAGCTCATGGTCAGACTGAAACTCTCTTCCATATGGATTTGGGATACATCTTGTGATAGCAAAATTAATTTGAGTGTCAATAATCTACACATATAGTTATCCACCTGCAGATATAGGTAAAGTCAGTTCAGAAGAACTGAACTATGAGAATTCAAATCGAGAACGAGGAGAGGCATCAAACTTCACCTTGGAATCATGCATGATCAATTCACATGCATGCCCTAAACTGTTGTTCAATTCATTAAAGAAGTTGGATTTGAACTGTAACACTATAGATTTTGGTTGGTAGCAATTCTATATACTATAAGTCTATAACCTTATTTGCAGAAACATGTATCTTAGCTGGCCCGAATATAAGTTCGGTGAAGCTCCCTAAAAATGGATGCGAGTGAAACGTGTTTTCCGAGGAGTTTGAATGCCACACAATAATTAAGAAAAAAATTCACTTCATATGGTTGGATTTACTTTCCATCAATTAATTGAGGATGATAATTTTATTCAATTTATCGGATATTAAAATAAATCAAATGAAAACTCGATCCAATGGATCCATAACGAATTTGCTCTACATTTGGTTCTTGTATTAGTCACGTTTTTTTAATTGAAATCCTTTTTTTGTTTTTTAACTTAATTGAAAACTTCTATTCTTAAACATTCGTTAATTCAAAACTTCCATTATAACTCTCTCAATTATTCATCCAACGTGACACGGTACAATTGACAATAATCAATCACAAATGGATTCGTAAAATCCAGTGGATTCCAAATAACAATGGCTCCAAACAAAAAAAAAAAAAAAAGGTTTTTATATTCAGTTTTTATACTTAGTATTAAAAAATAATTGGGACAGACAACATTTCCCCCAATCCAATTTCCTAGCCCAAATGCAACGAAACTACACAAACCCTGATTTCTCGAAATTAAATACTCGAGGCTCACATTAAGTTGCCTTTATATGTTGCTTGAAATGTCAGCATGTCAAAACATATCACTTTATTTTGATCAAAATTCCAATTTCTCAATGTGTGAATCACAATATTGCTTGCTGTTTATATGTACTAGGAGCTGGTAAAGTCCATCACAAACGTATGAATTACTCATCATCATACACATGCAGAAGATCAGCTAAAAGGCAAAACTGCTAAATTATATTCAGTTAACTTGCTTATAAGGAAATAACTCCAAGGAGAAATCAATGATAAGAAGATCAGCTTCTAGATAAACTCAGAATACAAATTTGGATTAAAGACACTTTTCATATAGATCATGAAAACTGTATTGACGAAAATCTGGGGAAGGTACACAAGCTCATACACTAGAATGACAAAAAGGCAAAATTGACTCAACAGGGTTCGTAATCAGATATTATCCTGTAAATATGCTGCGATAAATACGGCCATTGTACAGATAGATAAACCTAGCAGAAGACCAGAAGGGATCAGCTTTTTGGTAGCTGCCAATCGTATTCCTGAACAGTAGAAGCAAGAAAAAAAGGCAATACAAACAGTCAAATCCCCAAATTATGATGTTCATACTAAATAGGAGCAAATATCAAGATACCTAGGACATACTGAACAAAGAAAAGACATACCAAACACAGAAGAGAATAGGAAGGCTGATCCAAACCCAAGGGAATCACCAATAGCTTTTGTCTCTGGAGCTTGCATTAGAAAGTAAGCCTACATTGAAAAGCCTAGCTATCAATGTAGTTGCACAAACTTTATTTTATCAAGGGAAAAAAAAAAAAAAAACAGAACACCTTCAGATTATGCCTATTCAGCATTCAAAGATGACCACCTCCAACATGCATTTACACAAGCTCATGTTTGATTTTATGCACATGCACACATGCCCCACGTTTCTGGAGAACAATCTAGCACTGCTAATTTACAATAAGTGGCCAGCACGTTTGAACCACCTTCAACCTAGTCATAATGCGTTTTGAACAGTCTAGTACTGCTAATTCATAATAGAGTTTAATGGTGGTACTTAAATATTGATTTCATATAGTTTGTTTCAGGTATAAAATTGTAGATTTTTTGTATTGCTTTTCCTTTACTTTGGATGGACAAATAAATTCATAACCAAAAAAAAGGTGGTGGCTAACATTCTACAGAAAATAGCATTAAGCAAAAAAGGTAACAGCAATCTTAAGCTAAATAAACTGATACAAAAACCATAATATAGTAACCTAGAGATTTAAGAAGACAAAGGAAACTAACAAGCCAAGTTCACAATCCTTTTAAGCAACACCGTCTTTGAGCAAAGCTGTTACAGCAACAACAGCACTTAAAAGGTGCCCACGCAAGTTTGCTCTGCAATATAATGTGATAAAGGTGGCCATTCTAATTTTTTGCACCTAATCTTCTGCAGAACCAAAAGCAGAAATCAAATCCATCTCAAAATAAGCACTAAAAAGAGACCAGGTACCGTTTGCTCTATGACCGCATTTGATAATGGTGACCATATAATGCACCTCATCCTCTGCGGAACCAAAAGCAGAATCTAATCTGGATAAGGCATTTATTGAGAATAGTTCCTGTTCTTGGAGTGCTCCTAGCTCTAGAAGTCAAATAATCCATTCTAGCACTGAATATTACAAATCATCCAGTGAGTTACACTTACCCTAATGAACAATCCTGTTTCTCTCCAATTTTAGTTTACATAATCACATCAAGAATGTGTCAACAGCACAATAAAAGTACTCCGTGCTGCAAATATTTCTTGGCCAGTAAATTCAACAGACCAATCACTGACACCATCAACTCTAGGCACACTACTGATTTGGAGAATGCTTCCTACTGTAGGCATAGAAGAAGTGGGATTCCATCTCCTTACAATAAATACAGAGCAAACACTGCACATCAACTTGAATGCCTTGTCCCGTTTGGGACGGCAGAAAACTTCCCATCTCAAGTTGGTTAAAATTCAATGATTCCACATATTGTGCATTATATTTCGACCAAGTTCTCAGATTTGGCAGGAAGAGAGTTCCGATGCATAGTTACCTAGAACTTGGTACATTACTCATTGCAAAAAAAAAAAAAAAACTTAGTACAGTGTGGATGGCTGCATGATTACAGGGACAGAGTACAGCACTTAGCATAGTAGGTTTCACATGGAGGGTAGGCTTAGTTGGCTCACTATTTGGAATGGTGGTATGCTTTAAAGTGCTCATTGGGGTCGCTTATCAGTTGCTCCCTGCGAAACCAATTGGATGCCACTAGAAAGACAAGTAAAATTATACAAGAAGCATCCATTCTTCTTTCCTTCATTCCTTCATCCCACACCTCGTTTCACCATGGATAGCGCGTATGTTATACTTTGGGCGGTCAATTTCGGCAGTGCAATCCATAATTTGGGACAGACCATGGTTTGCAGTTCCAGAGGGTCTACCGAGAACTATTCCAATCATTAATCTGAATGCACCCTAAAAAAACCCTTCTGCTATAAACTTGAAGGAGTGGCCTATGGAGGTCCCATGAGTCCACACTTAACAATGTGCTTTGCCCATCATCAATAGCATGAGAGATCAAACCCTAGATTTATCTCTGAGCTTTCAAACGAACTAACTATCATAAGGAATCTTAAACACTACAAACACACTTTTGAAGTTCAGAACATGAACCATCAAGTAGGTGGCAAGCCTGCCAATGAGGCATTGGTCAATTAGCCAAGGACTCATGGCTAAGACTCCTAATGCATTAAGAAGTTCATACAAAATGCTAACCAAATAAAGCAAAAAATGATAACAATTTAAGCAAAAGTTACCGTTCCCATGAGAGCAGCCCCTGTCAACCCTCCAAATAGCGATCCTTTGCTTCCTGATTTACTGACTTCATTCACAAAAATGCAAACTTTATAAGCGAAAGGAAAGATAAGGCAATAAAGGACAAAAGGGCAAAAAAAAAAAAAAAAAGCGAAACGAAAGGATTTTTAATTTTACAGGCAAAGAGGCCACCGCCAAGAAGAATGACACCATAGGCAGCAGAGGTTACAGGAGCAAGATCTGTCAACTGACATTTGCAGCTAACACTTCTTCCTCTGGAAATAGAAGTGGCATTGGAATTGGATCTTCTTCTATTCTTTAAGCAAGAAAAAGAAGAGAAACCCAACAAAGTAGTTGAGTTTATGTCTTTACTGTAGCTATTCAATGTCGAGAATTTCGGAGGAATCAGTAAAAAGGAGCAAGACATTATCACTTTCTAACTCCCTCTGTCTGACTTTCTGCTAGGGATCGACTTGCAACTGGTAAATAGGGCTGGCTGAAGGAGTGAGTAAATTATAAATTACTCCTTATAGTTTCAATAAATGAATTAATTAAACCCCTTTGTTTAAAAACATAATATTTAGTCTTCTATTTTTATTTTTTATTTTTTTGCAACTTATATTTTAAAAACAAAATGTTAAAAAATGAAGAGAGAAAAAATATTTTTAAATAAATTAATATTAAATTAAGATTGATTAATACAGTTAGACTAAATAGTTAGTATTAAAATAAAAAGAACTAAATTATTTTTTTAAATTGAGGGACTAATTTATAATTTACTCCAAAGAAGTGGGTGCTTTTCTTTTCTTTTCTTTTCTTTTTTTTTCTGTCATCCAGATTTATTTTGGGCTGGTTCAGTTCTAAATTCTAATGCTGATATTGGGTTTAACTTGTCTGGTTTTTTGTGGATACTGTTTGCTTTTATAACGAATGCCCAAATGGGCCATGTACCCTGTACTTTGAGGGTAGGAAAATAGCCCGATCCAATTGTCCAATATAATTTTTTAGATTAATTAAACACGAATTAGAAATGATTTTGGGTTGCAGCAATTATATATATATATATATAATGAGGTATTATCGGTTAGTTTTTACATCAATTGAGATTAAATTTATTATTTTCTAACTAAGTTAGTATCGGAATACGTTTATTTTTTAATCGACTACTAAACTCTCTCTTAAACTAAATGAAATCAAACTTAGTATCATTAAAGAATAATTAAAACTAATTATCTGTAGATTGCAGCAATTGACAGGGTTAAAATGACTCAAGTCTCGCAACTGTTGGTAGAGAATATAGAAATTATTTAATATATTCATAGTTTTATTGTACTTTCTCATAGCCTAAATGAGCTCGTCCAATGAATGGACGAATCTATAAATAATTTTTATAATGGAGTTTATGCTCATTTGAGAAAGGAAAATACAATTTTAAATATATTTCCAGCTTTCCATCCGCATGTTTTTTTATTTATCTGTGACAAAGAAAGGGCATAAAAATAAGAATAAGAGAAAGGAAGAATGATTGAATTGTTTTTAAATTGCAAGAAAAGTAAAAGTTTACCATCTCTAAAATTTTTAATTAAAATATTTCGAGATTCTTAAATATTCCCGAGGAGATCATACTAATTTTCCAATAATGCTATAGTGTGATCTTTCACGTTAGTGATGAACTGATAATGGGCAAAGCTCCTTCTAAGTTTGGGTCAGAGAAGCATCACGGGCCTCTCCTTCAAGCTTATAGCAGCGGGAGGGTTGGTGTTTATGATCTGCCCCGCATTCATGTTGAAGTCTTGAGAATTTAAATAAGGAAAACCTATATAATAAGTATATTAATTTTTTTTTTCAATCAAATATATTAATTTTTATTTTTTTCATTTTAGTATATCAATGTTTTCAAAATTGTTAATTAAATTTTTTCGTTTAATTTTTTGATCCAATAATGATGTGACGAGTTAACGTAAAAAATTAAGTAACTATATTGTTTTTTTTTCTTTTTTCCTCCCAAATTATTATTATTTTTTAATTATTAATTGAAAAAAAAAAGTAAAGCAACTTAATTAAAAAAAAAAAAAAGATAGCAAAGCAGTTGTTTTGCTTTTTTAATTAATTATTAAACAATAATAACAATTTGGAAGGATAAAAAAAGTAGTATAGTAATTTAATCTTTTCTGTTACCTGCCATATTATTATTAGATGAAAAATTGGATAGAAAAAACTTGATTGATATTTTTTAAAAAAATTGATATACTCGAAACGAAAAAAATAAAAATTAATATACTCGATTGAAAAAATATTCAAAATTAATGTATTTATTATGTAAATTTTTCATTTAATGTAATTGAGCTCCACCCATACAGCATTTGCTATGCTAAGAGCATCTCCAATTGTGCTTTTTACTTTTAGCTAGCATTTTTAATGTAAATAAAGAGTATCATTAATTATATAGATTGAAGATCAATATCCTCTCTAATACTACTCTCTACTTCACTCTTTATTTTGACAAAATCTATAAAACCCAAAGAGCCTATTGGTGAAGAGATTGAGTGGCATAGAAAATAGTAATTTTCATTAATAAAATATAAGATAAAGAATTATTTGGACTCTTTAGTATTGGAGAGCCAAAGACACTCTCGATATTAATTTTAAAGATAGAGATCGTGATAAAGAGAGCATTGGATATGAAATTTGGATCAAACCTCTTTATTATAAAGAAAAATTTTAATATAAAGAGAGCATTGAAGATGTCCTAAGTATTCTTTTAGCTCCAAGGAGGAGGTGGGTTTTTTTCAGGTTTTTGTCAACCAATGTTGTTTGGTAAAATAAGATCTGGTCGGAGCAAGAGTTCGTGATGAAAACTGTAAAGCCAGCTTCGCTTAGGAGACTTCATTTTGGAGGCTTTTTCTCTATGTTATGTGTGACTTATATGCCAACAATTCTTTTAGTCAAACACGTTTTGCATCCAACCGACACTACACCTACAACAAAAAAAAGTTAAAACTATTGCCACAACTCAATCTCTAAACCGAACAAATCCTAAATGGTGTATTCTTATCACATCCATAATAAATCAAGTTCTAAGTAACTATTGTCTCTCTCTCAAAAGTATCATTATAAATATCGACATATTATATATCAAAGTTTTTTAACAATACTTTCTAAATATGTCATTTTTTAAAAATATAATAATAATAGTAAGAGAGTTGGAGAGAAAATTATAAAAAAAATAATTTTATTATAAAATAAAGTGAATATAAGTGATTATAATTTCAAAACAACTCTCTCAATCTCTATAGAAAAAAAAAACACCAAACTAATGAACAATCAATCTTATATATAGGTTTTAAAATAAAAAAAAATTGAAAAATACAAAAAAAAATTCTCGAAATGTTGCATCAATGCACCAACCTTTTAATTTTTAGGACATCAAGCGTTATAATAATGAATTGAATTTCAACAAAAAATATGATTAGTTATGAAAATAAAAATGATCATGAATATTTATTATTTTATGATATTTTTTTGTTTAAAGAGAAAATTTATTCACCAAAAAAGAGAAAATCCATCCAATTTAATTCTCCATTATAAAATAGGGGTATTTCAATAAAATATAGTATTAGAAATTTTAATTATATTTGGAAACGAGATATAACTAGAAATAAGAATGTATTTTTTGAGACAAAGAGAGTATTTTTTTTTAATGGAAAAGTAGGAGCGTGGATAGATCGACTAATCACGAGAAATTTTATAATACACCAGGAGTAACTAGTAACATGTACAATAGTTATTTTATGAGCCTACTTTGAAGAGAGAGATAAACACATAAAAAAAGATAGAAATTATATCTATACTCATCAAAAGTAATAAAAAGATTTCCACGTGCACTCAAATTTTTTTTATTTTCTCTCTCCGCTCTCTCTCTCTCTCTCTTTTTGTATGTCTATCTCTCTCCTCAAAGTGAGCACATAGAATAATTACTATACATATCACTAGTTATTCCTAATGTATTATAAAATTTCACGACTAATCACACATTCTGCAAAGAAACTTATGTCTTGTATATCCATATATATTTGGAAAGATTATATGGTATTTATATCCAAACCAAAGTTTAAGATACCTCCATAAATATGACTAACTAGATGTAAGTAAGCAACCACTTCTCTCAAAACTCAACGACATGACTTGAACCTGAAAGTCTGAGTTAAATGTGTTTTCTCTAACCACCTAAGCCGACCTTTAAAGCCCAAGTGGTAGTAGGTAACTATGAATAAGAACAATATTCCTGCCAAATCCGAGAACCTGGTATAAACATGAATTGCCGGCCGAACCAAAAATATTAATGAAAGAAGGGAAGAAGTCATTGTTCAGATGCGTGTACTCCAATTTTTAAATGATTCTGTCAGAAAAGAGAGCATTGGGAGTCGAACTTAGCTTTTTTCTTTTTCTTTTTCTTTCGTTTTTAACCAAAGTCTTACTTTCATTGCCACTTGAAATAATCCTTACTTAACTGGCAATGGTTTTCAAAGACTGACTTGTATGCATGTCAGAAATAAATGATCTGAAAAAAGAAAAACTGGAAGCAAAAAAAGAAATTTTATGTGTATGTCATTTACAATCTGACACAATCAACATCATCCCTGTAATTCCTAACAAACAATTTTGTACAAAAACTATCATCAATTTGGCAAATCTTTTTGCTGCGTAGAGAGGAAGGGAATGGAAGCTATATTCTCCTTGATAGTGTGCAAGATTTGCGTAGCAGATGGCCTAAGACTTGGAGACTGTCCAAGGCAAAGAGCTGCAAGGGAAATCATAGCCTTGACTTCCTTGACTTCAAAGTCTCCTCCCAATTTTGGATCCACCATTTCTGCCACCTTCATCGCTTTGCATTCATTATCATCACCACTAGCAATTATGTCCTTCAAAATGGGCCCCATTATTGATGTCAATAGCTGGCCTTGCCCTCTTTCCTCACAAAATGCCTCCATTCCTGTCACAAGTTCCAAAATGATGACTCCATAGCTGTACACATCATTCTTTTTCGATGCTATTCCTGTTCTAAGGTAGTGTGGATCGGTATAACCCGGAGAACCCATCATCACTTGTTTCCTGTTATTGGAGGTCATTATTGTAGAAGAAAATCCCATCTTTGCAAACCCAAAATCACAAAGCTTGCAATTCAGTTGATCATCGAGTAAAATATTTGAAGGTTTGATGTCACCGTGTACAATTTGGAGTTGACATTTTTCATGTAAATATTCAAGAGCTTGAGCAAGTTGGTAGGCTATTGCCATTCTATTTCTCCATGGAAGTACTGAACTAGCAGTTGATGACTTCCTAATTTCTCTTTCTGCAGCATGGAGTTTATCTTGCAAGGTTCCATTGGAAACATACTCAAATACCAAAGCACCTTCATCTGTAAACAAAACAGAAAAAATTTAGCCCACAAGAACTTGGAAAATAACCGAGTAACGAAAAGTTCCATCAAGTAAAACCAGAGACAAACCTTGATTGTCACAGTATCCTAGAAGCTTGACAATGTTGTCATGTTGAAGTTGAAGTAGTATGTCTAGTTCTTGCTTGAAAACTTTATTAAGATAGTCAGTTGGGCAGTGAATCTTGATAGCCCCAAGATCGGAACCAGTCAAGTGGCCCAAATATACTGTGCTAAATCCTCCTGATCCAACAATCTGAGAGAAATTCATTGACAGCTTCTGTATCTCACTCCAGTTGTATTTCCTCACACAACCATCATTACCTTCAAAATCCTTTTCCTTTTCAAGATCAAGATCAGTAGTGCCATTTGAAGCAGCAGCATCAGCATCAACTTTCTTGCTGTGTCTTTTGTTTCTGAACTTGAGACTGAGAAAGCAGCCCATGATGATGGCAAGCAAGAGCAGAAGCAGTAGAGAAGCAGTGAGAGAGATGACAAAAACCCTATGGTCAAAGAGAGAGAGGTGCTGTTTTAAAGGAATAGTTGTCGGTGGATGGCCAGTAGTAGGGGAGATCGCAATGGTGGGTTGCTGAAGGGAAGCTACAGAGAAGGTGAGAGGAGAGGAGTAACAGAGAAGAGATAATAAGAATATATTTGAAGGGATGGGCCAACACCACCAAAACCTGCAGACAATGAAACCTTTGTTTGGAATTAGTCTCATACTGCAAGAACTCACAGAAACATCTCTCTTACAGTAGTCTTAGATTTGTGTATGGTAAGCAAGGACTTATATTTGGAGTCAGAATCTGACAGCTTCTAATCCATTCTTATTTTTTTAATTACACTTGCAAATTAAATTATTACTTAAAGATCATTAATTAATTGGTATTATTTGGTTGTTATTGTTTACCTGTCAAGCAAATTTTTTCCTATTGTTTTTTAAGCTAAACAAGGACTTTACCTCTATTACGAATAGGTCTAAAAACATGCCCTTTAACTAATGATTGTATGAGAAATAAACGTTAATTCTTTAAAACTATAAGCTAGAAATACATTTCCTTATCTATTAAGCCACCACCAAAATAAATAACCAATAAGTTATTAATCCAACGATAAACGAGTTGAATATTCTGTTAAAGTATAAGTTTTGAATCTCGAAGAAATATTTATTAAAAAAAATTTAAAACCTTATCGTTTTGAATTCGAATTGTAGAATCGCATTTGTTAAAATAGGTTAACAATTTGATTATTTCGATCTCAAATAAAATTAGATCTATTTTTAATATAGGATGAAGACATCTGGAAAAAAAAATACATGATCGAAATTAATAATATGGTTTTTATTTCTATTTAAATATATGGTTGCCATTTTTTAAAATTGCATAAAATTATATTAATTTCGAAGTTAATGAATCATATTACTAAAGTTGATATGATTTCTATTTTTATTTGCAAGTGGAGTGTTTCCGTTTAGCTGTAGCTAGGTACGTTTGGAGTTTTCTATTAAGCACGTTCGGTACAAAAAGAAAAATTGGAGGAAAAAAGGCAAATTACTTTCAAACCCTTCAATTATTGTATAGGTTTCAATTAGATCTCCCATCTACCAAAAATTTCATTGAACGGCTCGTTGTGTTAATCGCAGTATCAATTTTACATCCTATAGACATTAGTTCTTGCAATTTGATACATGCAGATGTAGGTTACTTGCACCTCACTTTCTCTCTATAATATACATGTACTTAATTTCTTCGCATCAATATTTGTGTGAAGCAAAAAATAAAAAAATAAAAGCTAAAAAATATTAAAAAGTCCAAATCAATAACAACAGCTAAAAAAGGACAACGCCAAATAATTATATTCTAAATTTTAATTGATGGGTTTTGTTTAGAAATAAATGTTATTAACATTAACGTTACGCGCATGTTGATACAAAGATAAATTAGTTGTTCATGCTATGGTCGATAATACTACATCGATCATTATATAAATCAGGGGTGCAATTGAAACATTCTATAGATAGAAGACCAAAAAATGCTTTGCATGATAATTGGAGGCCCCAAATGTAATTCGAAAAACTCATACTTGGACGGCAGTTGACACAAAAAAGAGAACTTTTATTATTATTATTATTATTGTTATTATTACTATTATTAAGAATAAAGACAACTTATTAGTTGAATGGCATCAATTTCTTCCAATTCGGATAGGAGAAACTTCCTTCCTTCCATAGATGTTATGATATCAAAATCATTATGTGTAAAAAGAAAAAACCTGTAAACCCAAAGAACGGTAATAGAGTTGGGAAGGAGATTAAAAAGAAGATTGATTTAAACAGATAATTAATGCAATTAAAATAACATAACATTAATGGGTTCCTTAGCTTGATTTGAACACAAGAAACCAGAACTGAACAATAATGAAGAAGATAGCATGGAAGATTTTATCTCATTTTCTTTCATTTAATCGTGGAAGGCATGAGAAAGGAAGATGGTAGCGTGCTAACAGCAACACGGAATTACTCATCATAAAGTAGAAAGAAAAACAAACAAAGATTGATTCTTTATATCCAATGATGTGACATAAAAAATTGGCAAGTCAAATTTAGGTTGCTAGTTCTTTTCCCTTTCCTCAAACACAAGTGCTTTTCTTTGCTTTGCTTTTTTTTTTTTTTTTTTTTTCCCTCTTCATGTGGTTGAGTTTGCTTTGTCTTGCTTTATTATCCATGGCCATATACTTCCATTTCAAGAAGAAATCAATCACTTCAAAAGATTTAAAATCATCAATAACTTTAGCCATAGGTTGCCGGTTCTTTTCCCTTTCCTCAAGCACGAGTGCTTTGCTTGGAACTTGTTGGTTTGCTTTGCTTTGTTTTATTATTCATGGCCATATACTTCTATTTCAAGAAGCAAATCAATCACTTCCAAAAATTGAAAATCATCAATAACTTGAGCCATAGGGTGGCAGTTTGTTTCCTCTTCATAAATTTGGACCTTAAATCTTTGATTAGACTCTTTCCTTCCTTCTTTCTCTTTCCCTAGTTGGCATTAGTGCCCTATAGGTGATAAGATGGAACGTTATATGTCATTATTGGGATTAATGGCTGATTAGTTGTCAATTTGCAAGTCACTGTTTTATTGATATTAGTATGCAATTATGCATGGCTATTACTTGATACTTGTTAAGCTAAAGAGTTTCAACATGGGAAGTTATTAATTACGTGTACTTTTCAGGAAGGCGATTGCAGCCTGTCAATTCAAATATGATTGCTCTTGCCTTCTTAATTAAAGATAAAGTATGAATAAATTATAAATTAGTCCTTTTAATTTTAAGAAATAAATTAATTAGTTTTTTTAATTTTTTAAGAAAAAATTAATTACTTAGCTCCAATATTTTTAAATTTTCTTGTAACTTAATCATTTTTTAATTTATTTTAAAATAGAAAAAAATATAGAACAATTGATGAAAAAAGATGATATTTTGTGAGTAAATTATAATTTTGTTTCTAGACTAATTAATTTTGTTTTAAAAAATAGAATGATTAATTTATAATTTACTCACGAAGAATTGGTAATTTGAACGAAGACTCGATTAAAAAAAAAAAGAGTAAATTATAAATTATTTTTTATAGTTTCTAGAAACAATTAATTAATTCTCTTTTTTAAAAAAATTAATTATTTATTTTTTATATTTTTAATTTTTCTTCTACTTTAATCTTTTATTCTTTTTCAATCTGTTTTAATTTTTAGTTCTAAAAAAATAAATAAAAATATAAACAAATTGATAAAAAAAAGAGATGACATTTTATAAAATAAATTAATATTAAATTAAATATAATCAATATTGATTAAATAACTATATAATTAGTTTTTGAAACAAAGAGGATTAATTAATTCTTTTTTAAAGATCTAATTTATAATTTACTCATGAAATATCAGTAATTTGAGGAAGAATCAATAAAATAAATAAATTCTATAACATAGCTAGTGAATAATTATTGGAAGTAATATTGATCATGATGATTGGTGCACGTGGTACTTTTGGGTAACTCTTGATTAGTGGGGAACAAGGTGCTTGATTCTAAATTAATTTTGTGAAACAAAATTCTTTACCCACTAATCAATAAATTATATGCAAGCTTTAACTCAATAATCGAACAACTAATGTTCATGGGTAATTAGGTAATATAAACTCTTAACATACTCTCTTTTTAAAGAACTTTTAGAAGCTTTTGCCTTTCGACATGAGATTAGATCTTAGAAAATAAAATTAAAAATTACATGAATAACTAATAGAAATATAAGAATTTTTTAGGATGCAAAAGTTAGTTTTTATATGGTATAAAATTAAAGAATGATTATGAGTAATGTTTATTTATTTTCTTCACTAATCAAATCCAATTATTCAATGCTTATTGTCTATATATTGATAGTAGTCAAATCAATCCTCTTTCAAGCTAAGGGGCAATTCAATTTTTAGTATGCAAAAGTTAGCTTTTCCAAATATTCTCGTTGCTATTCCATCTAATTAACAAGTTTATACAATTATAGGCATGTGTGTTAAGGGATTAAAGAAAAAAGGAATTATGGAGTGATCGCTTTCGATGGACAATTTTATTTTTTTATTTTTTACTCAAGAGTAAAGATGTTTTGAATTATTTTTTTACGTATTATAAAATTAATCACTTTTTATATGTGGTAGAATTTTACCCTTTTTTAAAGTAAATCATAGATGTAACATTTTATAATGCATTTAGTGGTCATTGTCACATCACTTATTAATCTTGACAATTAAACAACTTAAACTTTAGTATGGATTATTAATTAATGATGTAACATTGACATCAATCATCATTCTCCAAAAAAAAAAATAATAATAAAGATACCAATCATCATTAATCTTTTTAAAATTTCAAATGAAATGACCTCCATTCAAACAATATATAAAATAAATCGGATATTTTGGATTATAGATAAAAATTTCTAAAAAATTTACAGATATATTTTGATATGAAAAAAATGTGAATATATGTTAGTGAGTTTACAATTCAAAGTGTATCTATATCTTTATTCTCTAAAAAGTTTTAGGTTTGCATAGTTTTTGAAGAAAAAAATAATATGTAATGGCGTAGCTATAATAATACATAATTTCTTTTCTATTTCTATCTTTATTCATGATTTAAGAATCATTTTTTCTATACAACAATTTGTGTAGTATGAAAATTCAATTATTTATTGATTTATTTTGCAATGTAAACGTATGTGTTCAACCTTCGTTGCTGTACATCAACTTAAAATAATTAAATCATATAGAAGAATTAATAATCATATTAAAATTGATGCGATTTTAACGATTTTTTTTTAAATAACCCATAGTAATAAAAATGAAAAATCACAATTATTTTTAATTTAATATATCAATTTTTTCGTTTGAACAACTCAATTTAAA